TCATCAGCATTTCACTCACAATCAGTGCCTTGCTCAGTTCCAACTTGCCTCTTGGTATTGGTTTTACTGTCTGGGGCTAACCCCATTCTCTTCTGGGTCTCAATTTGTGAGTAGCACCTTGGTGGAAGGAGAGGGGTGGGGATCTGGCAGGGCGCGCGACGCTGGCCAAGTGACTGCCTGGTGGGCCAGGTGGTCGCTCAAGCTCGAATGCCCACAAACAACGAGGAGGTGGCGGCATCATATTGCTGAATTTTTTCCTCGGCTTATTATTTTAATTTAGGAGTATTTTATATAAGATCCCTCTGGTTAAGCAATGTTGAGTTAAGCGATTTCCATCGTTCCGGAGGCTTGACTCGATGCAAATTGATTAGATGAGCTTCTTCGGGCCCTGTTTGGCTGAAGCTGACCGCGAGCGGAATTCTCTTCCACGAAAGAAACCTATCAAACTACAGTGGAAGCCCGTTATAACGGACCCGGATATGATGGACAATCGGTTACAACGGACCGATGGCTCGGTCCCGGACAAGCTTATGGGACCTTCAATGTCTAGTGACCCGGCTATAGCGGACCCAATAACGGATTTTAGAATATAATAGACCACTCTCCAGACCCCAGTCCTTTCTCCCTCCATGCTGATCAGACCGCTCATAGTGGACTAGGATATCCCGAAAGGATAGCCTACTGGACGATTTGCGGGATTTCTCGTACTTTTGCGCTCCGTGACAGATACCGCAGCGGTGTTCCCAATGATTTTCACGTTCCATTCCGGAACAGAACAAATCTTCGGCTAAAACGGACTTCGGATCCAAGGCACCCTTTCGGCCGGTGCCTCCGAGTCCGCTATATTCTACGGGGTTCTACTGTATTCTCGAAAGGTTCGGCCCTTCGCGGCTTGAGATTAATTATCCGGTCGGAGGGTCTTCAGCTCTATGTTTTATTTCTCTGTACTTTGGATAGCACAGTTTTTTTTTCTGGGCGCGAGATCCGATTCCTTCCCGGAAATCATTGAATGCGACGCTGAGCGATGGAGCGTAATTCATGGTTCATTGTCAGAAGGAAGAAAGAGCTTTGGGAGGCTGCCTCCGAGCTCTTATTCCCCTGAATTGTTTTCTCCGCTTTCGATTGTTTCGTCTCAATAGCCGAACGAGAGCTCGATTTGATGGCTTTCTGCAGTACTCAGCTATCGACTTAGAACTTTCGAATTTCTCACTTTAAAATGCTTTCGGCTCGGAGCCAGAAAAAAAACTCCTGGAAAAACTCGCGGTTGTTAATCGCATGGGTTCCCGCGAGAACCTTCGACGGAGGACCACACGCATTTAGACAGCTCCTGGCTTTCCCCGAAAGCGAGAACTGGAGGATGTGGTTATGCCTAAATGACTGTATTTGTCAGCGGGTATACCAGTCAATCAGAGTCTACCCCTGATCGAAGTGAATGAGATATAGTCTGTGAGTTCCGAGATCTTACTCCAGATTCCGTCAGAATTTTCACGCTTTTGGTGACCAACGGTCTGCAGATGAGAGGTGCCCAAGGTTGCGACTGACGACCTGACATTTCTGTTATAGCTGCGTCATGTAATCCGCACGTAAGTCAATCGTCACATTTTCACGAGGGCCACTGATTCTAGGCGCACGAATACGCTTCCATTCCCGTCAGGGGCCGGTGAGGTGAAAGGCCCTTTAGAGACGAGCGACTTTTATCAGCAAGAGATGCAGCGCTTCGATCCCTTGCGAGGCCGCAATACGGATGACTGATCCCGCCTTGGTGCAACACTTCATGGGAGTTGCTCATCGGCTTTCCTTGAACACGTTCCGGAAAGTCCAGTCGATCCATCGTCACGGTTCAAAATGAAGTGGGACCATCGTGATGGGGAGCGTCGTGGAGCAGAAGCGGATCTGAAATTCCGAGTTTGCGCGGGTCGGAGGACTGTCTAAATGTCTTATCCATTCGTGAGGGGATTGTACGGTGGATCTCAGCCCTCGGGGCCTCTACGAAACCCTGGATCTTCGGGCAGCATTTCGCGCTAAACGCATCGTCTGAAGTCCCTAGATCGCTTTCGGCTTCACTCTGGATCGGAGATGCATCAGACGAAACGTTCAACTTTTCCCCCATTCTCCTGCAAAGTCGAGGCAAAAGTCGATTTCGCAACGGAAGCAAATAGTCCTTTCAGATTTTGCGCGAATCGACAACAATTCTGGACTTTCCATTTGAGCGATACGCTTGGCCAAACCGCGAGGGGCTGGTCTACCGAAAAGTACCGTCACTGGTATCTGCGGTCGAAATCCGAAGAGGGATAAAGCCAACAGAGTTCGCCGTAGCTAGCAGCCAAAGCGGTAGTCGCGAACAGCGGCGGCGATGAAAGTGGCAGAATGGAGTGACTACAAACAGTACTGATGGTAGCGGCAGCGTATTTCGACATCGAATCACACTAGATCGTCGAACAAAGCATTTGGCTAGAATTTCCTCCGGCGAACCCCACCGTTACCCTCGTGCGTCCGATGAAGCTTGCGAGCTCTGATCTCGCCGCAGTAACCGTCTAGCGTGGCCTAGAAATGCAATTAAGGAGTTAGCTTCTCACAATGCGCCCTTGCGACGGAAGGAAAAACACGAACTAATTCTTGATAGATGCTGATAGCATGTCATATCGCGCAGCTGATTTATTCGCTGTTTAATTTTTTCTTGTTGTTTTGTCCGACTCGCTGCTTCTATGGTGCGAACGATAGACTCACAAGTACTTGATTGTCGAAATCCATTGTTGATTTTAATGCTGAATCATAATAATGATTCACGTCCCTTTACAGTCGAAGTCACCGGAATTCGCGTTCCCTTTCTGCTTCTCGCTAATTGGAGTCCGCTCCAATTACATTGAGTGACAATCACCATACTATCTTCCCGATTAATTCATCCTTGTGGACCAGAGAGCTTCTGTCGCAGTCAGATCGCGCGATCCGAGCATACATGCAGATGATACGCAGTCATTGTTTTATTTTCCGTGGGTTGTTATTGCTGTCGTCTTGGTTGAGATAGCAGATCCAGCCTGTTACGAGTTTCTAAATTTAATCCATTTCTTCGGAACGCCGATATTTCCCAATGTCCTGCTGGAAGCTCTTCCGAGAATTATGGCACTGATGGATTAAGAAATTCACCTTGCTTGCCAGTTGGTCAATGGAGCAGAATTATTCATTGGATTTACGTGCAGCGAAGTAATTGTGAGCTTTTCGCCGAGTTACGAGAAATTTAGAGTTTCCTTCGCCGATCGCCTCCTAATGAAGGATCTGATATCGACATTCAGCCTTCATTCCCACGAGTCGGCTCTTGAGCCTATCAGAAACGATAACGATAATATATGCATCTCATGCTTTGGAAAGACTCGATTTATCGGATCATTTGGGCTCCTCGTAAACCGACGGTAGGAGATCTTGAGCAGAAAAAAACGGAGGGAAAAGCAGGACGGCTCGAGCAAAAATACAGTGAAATGATTCAGAGAATCGAAATCGCTCTTTGTCTCTTGAAGTTCCTGATCGCATTCTGCAAGAGAAATCGATGACAACGGCTCGTTGGCCGGCTCTCATGGACCCCAGAACCCGACACGATCAATTTTTCCGATGCGACGAATACGCCACCGATCCGTAGGATCAAACCGATTGTTTCCGTGCTGTCCTAAGTCCCGGAGGTTCACGACAGTAACGGAGTAGCCCCTCCGTTGATGTGCGGATTTTACTCGGACTTGGGCAGCCGATCATTGAGTTTCGTTGAATGCCCATATGTGGTGTAAGGCTTCTGGCGCAGAAACGTCGAATCCGACGACACGCATCGGAGTTTCATCTAGACTCGCGAGAACTGTCGGAAACTCGCGACAGATCTCGACTCCTGCTTGTTCCCGATCGGACATTTCATCGAGAAATCGGAATCCGGCGCACAATATTGCGATATCTTGAATTTTGATTCTTAAAATTTGTTCGGCCTGGTCGCCACAGTGAAGAAGGTCACTGTGAGATGAAAGCGTCCGCGGGAGATGTTTGATGTTGTTCTGTCTGCGGAAATTCACCCCTCATCATCGGACCCTTGGATGAATTCGACCGCAATCTTCGCGGTCCTGCCTTCAAATGATTGTTCGCCAGCTTGTTCGATTCCCTATTCGGGGTAATTCGGATGTGTCGAGGTTTTTGGGTGTTTTTCTAAGATCAGAGCGAAACGTTTCGTCCGATCGGAAACACACACAAGGGGGGGAGTCTCCATAGGGAAACATTATTTCGGGTGGCGGGATCCCCGAAGCGATTTCTTTTTTCGAGATATATAATCATAATTCTTGATTTCTGGTGGAAGGGTGATGATTGACTCTAGCAACGATTCGTCTTCAATCGTGTGGTGGGGTAGGGTCCCGGGAAAGCGTTTCTCTCGCCGACTGAAATCTTTCTCTCTCTTTCCTACGTGTCTGACTCTGGCTAGATTCCGTCCGAGCCAGACTTACGGATTTTGCGAAACCCTTAGTGCTTCTGGGTGCTTGAATATCGTGAAAAATGCGCCTTGGCTCTGTGCGTCGTTCCCTTGTTCTCCATTCTCATCAAGAAGTTTCTGTACGCGGATGGCGATTGAGTTGAGCTCTTCTCTCGAGGAAGTCCGAATCGAAAAAATCGAAGAGTGAGATAGAGAATGTGCCTGCACAAAACGGAACTTCCACGTTGATTGTTCGGGTGGAGAACGAATTAGAGTCGATTGGAGGCGGTCCTCGACGATAATCCGATACTCGACAATCGAGGGACTCCTTGTCTCCACCGGTAGAGGACATGAAACAGCCGCCGATGGAGAAAATGGCTCTTGACTACTCTGAGTGGTGGCGGGGGATCGGCATCGGTGAGATTCGAATCCAGAATTCCCCCGAAAGAAGCCCCTCGAGAGATTTGGCTGTTGAACGATCGCGCTGCCGAGATCCTGGAATCTTCGTCCGCATGATAAGTTATTATTGACAAGTCATTTGATTCTTCACTCCACAGACGAATCCTCCATGGCAACTGACCACATCCTCGAGTTGGTTGGGATCCACTACACGGGACCCGTGCAAACTCCGTCGTGTGTTCAAAGTTTAACCGGAACCGGGCTGACGGCTCCGTTGATAAAAGATGTATCACTGGAAGTCCACGCCGGCGAAGTCATGGCAGTTCTCGGTAAGTGCATCATTCTGTTGCAATTTTAATCTGATGACTTTCCTAGTCCGCCCCTACATGTGATGGGTGAATTCATTTCGGCTTGTCTGCCGCTTTCGCGACCGATGCTTCTGTCTCAGCAAAACATCGGAGTGAAGTGCACGATCTTTTCACTCCTATTTTCGGATGATATTCCCGTCTCGACGTTCAAATTGCCGCGGTTTTGGGGCATCTTTGTCGTCGATCGTTGTATATTCAGAGGCCGGATCACTAGACGCAGTTCGAAGTCCCACACGGCGCATTCATAAACAGGGAAGTTATTTGACCGTGCAAAATCATCCGCGACGTTCGCATTGCGTCTCCCCCAAAAAAAAATGAGGAGCCGCGCGATGGAACCAGCACTGCCCTAGTGATGCAGCTGATGACAGTCCCGTCCACGGTTCGCTTGAGATCATGATGAGAACACGACTCCATCGAGTCCCTAATTTTGATCCTCAAGAAAAGCCTGCAGTACGCACCGATAGCGAGCGGACAACATGCGTTTGAAAGTTTAAACTTGGCGAGAACAGGTTCCTCCAAAAAATACCCTCTCGACACCCATCCCTAGGCCGGATGAGATATTCTTGTTCGGTGCTCGCGTATTTCACCGCGCTTAGACCGACAATGACGGCAGTTTCGCATGCGGTTGCTCTCTTTCGACTGAGGCCCGTCGTCATCGCGCCGTGCATGATTTCCCACCGACACCCTGACTTCTCCTATAAGCATGAACCACTTCTTCAACTACCACAGAACGCTACCGCTCCGACAACAACAGCTTGGAGCGCAACTCGGCGACCATTTAGCGGCTCTTTTGGATTGCGACGTCAATGTGAAAGCGACCGCCTTAACTACCTCGAAGCTCCTCGCTGACCAGCTATCAAGTGAACGAATCTATTGAACGAAGTGGAATTATTGCCTCCTTGAAAGTTGCCTTCGTAGCCCGCATCGTGTGTGGGGCGTCTATCTGGAAAACTCCGCAGTTCTGCGTGAATAAGTCATACGCCCGATCGAAAGACGCGTGTAACGCTGTTTCCATTCGGAGCCAAGTGAGCGAATTCGCTTCTGGTTTGTGTCGGCGCGAGTTCCGGCACGTCTCGCTCCTGCAATGATATCTCCGACCGTTGCTCCAGCCGCATGATGGTATTTCGAGTTTTCGGAGCATATGTACATTCATCGATGTAGCCTTGCCAGCTCGGCTCCAGCCTTGCGAATGAGCTCTGTTCCCGCGTCGGGGTGGGTGGACAAGTGAAGTTCTTTGATGCCGTTTCTGGGGAGCAAAACGGGTCAAAAAGAAAAAAGAATTTCATTTCACGAGCACATGTCGAGCGAGTGGCAGCGTTGGGAGGAATGTGACCGCGTTTTTCTCGAGCTGAAGGGCAACTCGCCCCAGTGAATTCCTAATGGTGTAATTTTTTCGTATATCTCATCCACTTCGGTGAGACAAGACCGATTCGGCTTCGAAAAGCTCGCTTGTCGTTTTCTTCAGATGCGGGAAAGTTGAGCGAACGTGAACCTCCTCGGGAATGTCAGCGCTGGCAACCCGAGGGTCCGGCGTTGACATATCAGCCGAGATCTTCTATCTCTCGAGGCTCGCCGATAAATTCATTCGTTTTCTCTGTGTGCTGAAGTCCACTCTCCTACAGGTTCGAAAGGGAGCGGGAAGAAGGCTTTGCTCGAAGTGATCGCTCGCCGCGCTATGGGCCCGACTCGGGGGCAGATATTGCTCAACGACATTCCCATCACCGTGAGGCTGTTCCAGGTGAGTCCTTGATCGGATGTTCCGCAGAGGCAAACCGTTGTCTTCTCGATTTGCAACTGTCTTGGGTTCCGCTGACGAAGCATCGATCGGGATCGCGAATTCGGAAATTCCCTCAGATATCATCGGGAATATGAAAAATCTCTTGAAACATGTTTCATGGATTTCTAGGAACAATGCGGTTACGTACCGCGTCGAGTGAATCTCGTCCCGGGACTGACTGTTCGACAGAGCCTTGACGTTGGCGCCCAGCTCACCGTGGGCTCGAAAGTTCCAGCAAGCGTGAAGAAAACCAGAGTGAAACAGGTGTGTCTGACTTTCAGTCCTAGGACAGGTATTTCTGATTCTTCTCCAAGCTCGACGGTTCGTTGCGATGCGGTCGAGCTGCAACAGATCCGCTGCGAGAAGGGAAGCTCGAGGAACTCAGAAAGCGTCGAAGTGAATACAAAAGAAGCTGCACAATGGCATCGAGTGTCTCCAAATGAAAACGTCACCTCGACTGCGACAGGCTGCGGGAGATATTCCAGCAGTTGCTCTGCTACGCCCTTAGAATGCTTCATCAACTGTCGGTGGCGCGGCGTAAACAGACTTACGGGAATTAGTCTGACAACACCCTTGCAGCAACAATAGGTTCTCGCTACCCACAATGAAAAAAAAGGGGAATTTTTCGAAAGAAATCATCAGCATGAATTATTTATCATTAGCGAATACGGTGGGCGACAGAACGGTATATGGCTCTGAGTCTGAAGACATAGCTATCACGGTTAGAGTCGTGAAGCTTGTGTGCCACGAAACCTCAGGGCACAGAGCGGTTTGGGCCGGTGTCCAAAGGGGCGTCAGAGATTCATTCCAGAACCTCAGCGGACGATTACTCCCACAATTTCCTCACGAATTTCCTCTTTAGGTTATGGCCGACCTCGCTCTCAACTCTGTCGCCGAAAAGGAGGTTTCTACACTGTCGATGAACGAGCAGCGAAGACTGGCGATAGGGCTTGAGCTTGTCAGAGATCCAGGTAATCGGATTCAGCGGAGTCGAAAAGTGCCTAGAGGTCATTCCTTCCCGGGTGTACATATGCATCCGGAAAGATTTTATCCAATCAAAGATAGTGTCAGCGTGGATGTGATGACTGTCCTCACCGAACGAGAACCCGAACGGTAATCTGAAGGGCTCCGTCCCATTAAGGAATTTCCTTCTCCCCGCAGTGTTGGTGATCCTGGACGAGCCTACAGCGGACTTGGACCCTCTCAATACCTACTTCGTAGTATCTATCCTTGCGAATCATGCTAAAAAATACAACCGTATCGTATTGATGTCGATGTCCAAGCCGCGGTCGGACATCTTCCCGTTCCTCGATCGAGTGACCTACCTCTGCCTCGGCGAGCTTGTCTACACAGGAAGTACCCGTCATATGCTTGATTATTTCCGCAACGTCGGCTTTCCTTGTCCCGAAATGGAGAATCCGCTAATGTACTATCGTAAGTGACAGATTTCGTAATCCGAGGTTTGCGGTCGATATCACACTCTACCTCTGCGCCTTGATGTCAGGGAGAATATCGCTCGATGTCGAGTTCACCCACTTTTTTGGACAGCCTTTTCCCCCGAAAATCTCCCAACGTTCAACAACACTCATGACCGTCGCGATTTTCCAGTCTGTCTCTCGACTGTCGATCGTAGAACTCGAGAACGCTTCCTGGAGTCTTCGTCTCAAATCCAATCTCTGGTTGAGAAGTTCCGCATCGAAGGTTCCCGATACCGTAAAATGGCTTCCGGAGCGATCTCTGACGTGACTCCGCCCCCTCCTTCGGAATACAAGCTTCCGCTGACGGGTGGGTCTCAAATACAACTCCGATCGACGATCCGTTTCCAGCTCTATAGAAACGTCAAACGAATGAGGTTTTCTACGAATTTCCAGCTTACGGTCAACCCTCGTCGGTGCAAGTCTTCGCCGCACTCTACGGTCGATTCATGGCGTCGTCCTTCAATTTCAACTGGAGCGCGATACGTGACCTCACTCTGCGGACCTTGGTTCTCCCGGCATTTTTCGCCTTCATGCTGATTTTCTTCTATCCTCTTCAATACTCGCAACAATCTTTCTTCACTCGAAACGGCGTCCTGCTCTCTTCGATCACGGCAACTAGTTTCTTATCGGCCGTCATCACGGCAATCACATGTGAGTGGAAAATCCCCGAACAAGGTCGAACCCCAGCCGGAGAAATCAAACTTCCCTCGTCACACTTCCCAAGAGGGAGAGAGCGGGCCCGAGTCGCAAGCCGCTTCGATAGATAACCGACAAGAGTCACTTGGAATCAGAAGAGTACTTCAGCAGGGAGCCGTACGTTGTTCGCGACTTAACAAGTGTGCTCGCCGGATTCCTGCGTATCACAACGTCTGAAGTGATGCCACGATACGACGGAAAAACCCGGCTGGTTTTTTGTAGAAGGACAAAGAAAAACTCGAGGAGCTCGTCTCGAGAACAGTTCCTCCGCTCGCTCGCTCGATCGTCAAACTAAAAGCTCACAAGCTACAAAGGGTGTTGTTCTTGTCTGTTAACTGCCGACGCGGAGTTGCTTCTGTTCCACAAACTGTAGAGCGAGAGTTCTGCCGAGCGCTCTACCAAGAATCACAGGGCGGTGTAGAGAAAGATGACCTGACTAATTACCCGAGACTCTTTTGAAACAGACAGTCACAGTGTGTCTGTCCGCTCTGAGCTCCGATTCCCAATGAAATTGACTTCTTTTACTTTCTTTCCGTTCAGAAGGTTTTCCGCTAGCATGCGTGTCACTCAATGCGTGTTCGGTGAGCTCTTCGGATCTCATGGGGCTTCCTTCTGAAGTCCGATTGATTTCCTGATAAATAATCGGGCGCTCGAGCTCCTTGGGAGGGATCCTGCGTTCGCGAAGCCGACGTCTGCCGCTCCGTTCTGCGGGACTCTTGCGCTGGGTCATGACATGACATTCCCGCCCTGATCTGATCATGGAAACCGCGAGCTGAGCATTCTCTCCCAGATGTGTTTACATAAAGAGTTACCATTTTCGTTGTCTTGATCACTTTCCCTCACGGAGCGACAATTTGCTCCCACATGTTAACAGCGGTTGATCTACCGCTTGCTACGGAGTCGGAAGCCTCTAAAAGGCTCCTAATGTGTTCCTATCGGGTCTTTTGATCTTGGAGACGTTCAACGAACATCCGTTGAGTGCTCCCACAAGTGGAAAACGGGGGAGAGAGCGTCACGCATCCCACACAAGCAAAAACATGTGTTTCACAAACTGTCATCTCACTCCTACAGCTGCTCTCGCCGACTCTCTCTCCCGCTGGTTATGTATCTTGTGCTAAATATATTCGAACGACTACAATTATTCGGCTGGAGATGCTGTAGTTCGGGAGCTCACCGCGCTCAAAAAAACTGAATAATTATACTCTATTTGTCGAATCCAATCGGATTCCGAGATTTCTGTCGAAGATATTATTCGTCATCCGATCGATGACGGAGTTTTGCCGATTGTGAACAAATTTCGGACTCTGTATTTCCATGCTGAACGTTGCCAGTACTGAATTGATGCCAGTACTGGAGCAGGTCTACACATTCTCATGCATCAGACTACGACACTCACCGCAAAATTTCCAATAGTCCTCCGGAAATCAAATATGGTCTTCCGCTGTGCTCCAGTCTGGGACTATTCAGGTGGATGCACGGCTCTTTTGAGTTTCCGATAGCACGTTCAAACTCTACTGATGCTTCCAGATGCGCCTCATCGAACTCGCTACTACCAAGAGAGCCGAGAAGGGAAATACCGCGGACCCCTGTTCGTCTTCACGCACGCTCTGTTCTCGATGCCGATGTCTATATTCTCCGTTTTCGCTGCAGGCTCCATCGTTTACGGGTGAGTTGATCTCTGAATTCCGGGTTTTGTTTCAGAATTGAATTGTGGGAGCACGGAGAAGATAAAGGAGTCCCGGAAAGGAGTGGGATGTCTCAATGTATGGGGAGAAGTCACATTCATTAATCAAAATAGTCACCTATCTCCGAGAATCCGCGCTGCGCCGCTGAGATGTGATTCATCTTCAGTCATCGTTGGTCACAAGGTCATAAGTCGACCGACTGATTGGCGGGTTCCGAGACAGGATTTAAGGCATTAACTCGAGGAGCGCCCCGATGACATACCTACCAAGACGAGGAGGGAGACACCCAAGCATATTGTTTCGGGTACTTGCCTCTCTGGTGACAAGGGCTTGCCTTTAACTCATCCTTCTGTTTGTCAAAGCTTCCGCCTATCAGGGCTTTCTGATGACACCGAATGTCGACGACGACGACGAGAATGTGGAATATGGCAGAAATGATGAGAGGGATGACAGCTTCAGTGACGCTCTGATGACAAGAGCTCTCACAGCATCCTCGAAAGACCGACAATTCTCGACGCTGTCGTCGGCAACGGAAGAACAAGGAAATAAGGATTGCCTCATAAACACACTCTCACTCTTTGTGGAAGAAACTCAAACAAGAGACCCTTGCCATTCAACCGAAAAGGAATTCACGGGATTTGAGGGGTCGACGCGCCTTGTTGAAGCCGTCTTTCAACGAGCACATCATCGTGGACAACGACGACCGACGCGAGCAGCGAGAACGACATCAACATCTATAGCGAGAGCTAGAGCACGAGCACCCATCTCATTACGTTCAACGTCGCGGACATCTGTTTGCTAAGCAGCAGCTTTCATTTTGCAAGAGAGTAAAAGAGACTTCGTGGAAAGAGAACGTGGAGTTCGGGGGAGCTACTTCTGACGAGCAATCCAGAGTTTGTGTTCACTCTTCGAGTCCTGGTGTCTGGCTCTCGCCCCTGACCTAGATGGAGACCAATGTCGAGATTCGAAAGAGAAACGTCGGCGAAGCGTCCACGCTCAGCCATCTGAGGTCGAGAAAACTGATCGCGATCCGGAAATCCGCGCTCTATGAAATCAAAGCGATCCGAATGCCGAACGCTCCATCGAGATACACGCTCCGAATACTCGTCATCAAGTTCGATGGGCGTTCGACAAGCGTAACGACCTGAACCTCGAAAGCTTCTCGACTACCTCTCTCTGGCTCATCGGGAAGATTGATTCGGGAATCTCCCAGGCACATGTATCACCGGGCAGCTTAGATGGACCCCATTCAAGTATTCGAACCTTGTCTGGGAGCTCGTCGGCGAGGTCAAACCCACTCCGACGCCACACTGGTTCCTCTGTGTCGACAGGACGCCGCGCCGTCAAGATAGCTAAAAGGGTTCTGAAACCGCTGAATTTCGACACTCAACTGCCAAGTCGGGCTTGATGCCTTCTCCGTATCGTGGCACGTACGAGGCGTGCTTTTAATATGGTCTCGTAGCTGGGTTTTTCGCCTCCAAAAATCATTGAGGTTCGCTTTCGGAAGCGTAGCAAGGATTCCGTCCGAGTGACTGGATGACTTTGTCCGTGACTTCTGTGTCTTTGAAGACATCCGAGCGAATTCTAAGATGCCTCCTTTTCGTCGGCCGGAGGAAACTGCGGTCTCGGTCCCACGGAGTAATGCGACCTATGGAGTTGTGATGGTTCAGCTCGGGGAATGCAGTTGAGCATTTTTCTCGCTGTCGTTGCAAGTGCAGTTCCCTCCTGTAATTGGGGAATCTAATAAGGATCTCTCATTTTTCAGAGCTGGCGGAATGCGCCCCGAATGGGAACGCTGGGCCCCGTTCTGCGCCATCCTGTGGTGTTTCTACGCGTTTGCAGAGCAGCAGACAGTCGCATTGATGATGGTTATTCGTAGCTCATACACAGCTTGCGTCACGTCGCTGTACTTCTTGGCCATCTACATCACGTTGGCTTCTGGGGGCGTCAAGTGAGTAAACTCATTTTTTCTAGAGCACCGAAATCACTTTCGTCGGGCCGGGAGCTCCGAGAGCCACAACCCATCGAAGAATTCGAGGGCGGCCCGGACCGCTTTGTATACACAAAATGGTATCGCTCGAGTCGCGAGTCTGGATCCGACTGGGAATCGCTTACTCCTGATGCTATCGGCAGTTCTGCCGTTGGTTAGGCGATGCGATTCCGGAGAAGGACAATGCCGCCTCTGGGATGCGGCCTCTGGACTCCTCGCATTTCAATCGTATTCCACGTCACATGATACCTGTTCATTAATAGAATCGAGCTGCTCCCAGCCAGCGACTCACGGAAATCCGAAACCCGTTGAGAGAAAACTTATTAATGACTTCCTGATGCGTTCCGCGTTAAACTCCCCGTGGCTCATCGACGGAAGCGGCACTTTTTATTCTTTTTTCCGTCAAACATACGAGTCGTGAGTAAGAGAGGTCATCGGCCACCGCTGCGATTTTGATTGAGCACGAGCAGCTCCAAGAGTGGGGGTCTTCATCGATTCGGGTTCTTTTTTCCGCATTCACAAAATACATCCAGGGAAAGGGGTTCCTGCTCTGAGCTCGCGCACCCAAGCGCTCGGTCTCCAAGAGAATCTCACATGAGAGTCTCATACTGATTCTGTTGTGCCTTTCAGGTCGCTCGTTGTGATGCCCGACTGGGCTTACTACGCCAGCTACGGCGTAATGCATCGTTACGCCGGAGCTTTTCTCTACCAAAACGAATTCGAAAACTACGCGGCCCTGGACTACGTGCCCTCGCTGAACGGAACTTCGTGCGGGCCGAATGTCGATCCGGGTCGCTGCTTTTTCGTGAATGGAGGTCATTTCATCTCACAGAAGTACAGGACCGGTCGCGGAACCGCTCAAGTTGACCTCCAGTATTGGCTCAACTTCGGGTTGTCGTTCGGTTTTATCGGTGCCATGTATCTCGTCAATGTGATTCTCCACATAATTCCACTTCCAGCGTCCGTCAAGATCAAGTTTAGAGATTAGGTTCCCGATCGTTTTGCATCACAGTTTATCCGCGCACTCATGTCTATCGCGGAAGACCCGAAGAATGAAAATGGCCGAGCCCATCACCCATAATTTTTCGTCCGCTTGTACTCAGAATTCCAATGTAAATATATGTACATGTCATACCCTCGCGGGTCGGTCGACAGGCTGGGATCGCGGGAACGGGAAGAATCGCGTGCGTTACATATCGTGGATCACATTCATTGCGGAGTGTTCGGATCACATTCATTATGATATTCAAACTGCCAAATAAATTCGTATTTTTAAGCGGAAAAAGACTCGTGAGTCAATAATCCAATCTCCTAAGAGGGAAAATCTACCCCACTGCGGAACACTGATCATAAATAGAAATGGGAGGATTCGGATTCGAGGGACTATCCCACCCAGGGAAGAGCCCAAACCCGGCGTGCCGGGCTGCCTCTTCGGCAAGGAGACTCCGCTCGTGATATAAATGCATGGATTTCGAGCGAAGAAGCGCGCGAGCATCATCGGGTGTGATATCTTGACAATAAAATGCAGATGGGATGCCTGATATTGTTGTAACAGCCGTAGTATCATTCGTGGACGACGACAGTCAGCGGAACAAGAAGCGCGCCATTGGTGCCGACTCGTGCTTGGGACGACGGCCAACAAACGGTCAGACGGAAACGTCATCGTGCTGGACAATGCGTCGGGAGCCGGACGGTCCATCATCGAAAGATAATCCCCTCGTCGCGAGAAGCCAATATTTGAAGCCCTCGCAGTCCAAGTCAGTGTATTAAAACCAATACTCATGGGCTCACGTTCGAGAAATCCGATAGCTTGGCGATCGTTATGAAGATAGAACTGTGTTTGTTCCTCATCGCAACTGCTCAGGGCGCTCCGAGGGTAGCGTCGAGGCTCGCCGAGGCTGAGAACTGGTATCGCGCAAACCTCACGCGACGTAGCGGGCAGCAGCACGTCGAAGTTGTCAACACGATCGGTAGGTGCAGGAACCGTAGGAGCTTCTAGCCGTAGAGCTTCTGAGTCGGGAAGGCTCTGATTATCGCAGATGGTTCGAACGGGAAGGGCTACAATCAGGCTCATTTGTATCAGACACAGGGTTGGCCCCACCGGGGTTCGTGAACCCGAATTCGTACTTCGCTCCTTTGCTCTTCCCCGTGGTGCCCGCCGGAGTGCATTTCCAAACTCAAGAGCTCACTGCAGTGCATCATGAGCCTACGCATCTGCTTCAAGTTCAGCACACGCCGGTGAATTTATTCACCTACGCACACCAGAAACCACCCTCGTTTCTCCAGCAGGCTCCCCGGGTGAGTGGAAACTCATTGTGCGATACGCCTTTCGATATTCTCGATACTGATTGAGTGGAATCCTCGCTTCTCTCGGCTTCTTCACGCTCTGAACTTCTATCCGTCAGCCTCTGAGTTCGATACCCGTGGTTGTGGACCCGGTGGCATACAACAGCCGATACGATGTCGAGAACCTCGAAGATGAAGTGATCATAAAGGAGAGAGTCCTTCGCAATCTGATAGAGGGACGATTCAAACGGTACAGAGGGGCGCCCGCTGAAGCCGAAAGCAGGCATCATTATTCCAGAAAGCGGAAATTCTACGGTAAGATTCTCCCTTCGAGTAGTCCCTATCACGGGACGATACGGAATCGTAGTGCTTCCTCGTCTCTGTGGGGCTTCATTGTCATTGGGAGTTTCATCCTCCTTGGGAAATTCCGCAGCCCTCCCCCCGACGAAATCGGCGAAACCCAGGAAATCAGGCAGGACATCCAATGAAGACGAAGACGAGTTCCAGAGCCCGTCCCCATCAGAAATTTCTTACACGGCCAGGAAGGAGCGCAGAGATAATCAACTCTACTCATTCAGAACGGACAGAGTCGCTAACGGTAATATTGTTGTAATTATCCCGAAGAAATAAAGGAAATTCCTAACGATTGCTGGCTCGTGCCAGAGTACGCCTCCCGACGTAGTCTTTGCGCCTCTTGTCCTTCAGCTTTAGCAACACGTCTGCATGATTCCATTTGTCTCCCCCTATCGTGGTGTTTAATATTCATAGCGTTATGAGTTATGGATAACATAACGCGGGAGGGGCACGGGGAGGGGGGAACCTCGAATCGGACAAGATCGATTAGCCGAAAAATAGCGCGATGATTTGTCGATGAGCCATTTATTCTTTCGACATTCAAACTTTCCTCCTAGGACTCGCGGAGCACTGTTGATGACTTCATTCAAACCAACTCCCTTGATGAGATTCGGGGTTGATACCATGACACCTTTTACGAGCGAAGAAACCTTTCCTCCCTTGTGCGCTCGTGCTTTATACTCGTCATGTGTATGACCGTCCTAGGTGTGGCTGATCTGAATCTTCGAATATCTCAGGCTCAGGCACTCCTATCGGTGGAAGGCAGCAGGGTTCATACGGTGAAGCAATCTCGGTCCCCGGATGCTGTCCCTCCCTGAACCGCTTCGCGGACTCTCCCCGGGAAACTGCAATCTTATTTCCTGAGACATACGTACCGACAATCAGGAGAGCCGTTCAGAAACAACACGATGAACGCTCTGATGAATTCATATCCGTCCGGGTTTCTCGGGAGAGGCGGTCTCCGAGATCCAGCCTGGAGTGGCACCCCGAGGGTGCGCGACTGATGGAAGGATGCTTCTTCTAAGAATCAATCCCTCACATATTTCCAGGGTCTCACCAGAGAGGATTCGGAGAACTGATGAATTCTCAGAGAAAATTCGACAATTCGCTTGGTGGTCGCTCCTCGAGCTGGGCTCATTACTTGAGACCGCATAGGCCTGGAAATAGTTGAAATTACGATCAGTCAATGCGACTTCGGGACTACCATCAGAAACCCGAGGAACGTGGTCGAACTTCCCATTGGGGATGGCATTGACGTCGACGGCATTGACGTCGCTTGTTAGTTGAGCACGGAACATAATTATATCGACACCTCGGAAATGCTTGGGACGGGTCCATCTGTGAGCCACCGGGGTGTGAGTCTCGCACAATGCGGCAGGAAATTCATTCTCTTTTGGGAGGGAGAGAAGTCTTTGTATGTGGATTTGCTTTCAGGTTCTCTTTTTCCCTTCTGGCTCGGGCAGCGAAAACAATAGCAATGAGCCACGGGTCGCAGGACCAATCAGTTCACGGCCGGCGTATGAGAAGGATGAATTTTCTTCTCGTGAGGCGAGTCCGCGGTACTCGCCGTCGGGATTCCGCGCTCGCTCGGTGCAGTCTCGGCGAATCACGTAAAAACTGGGATCCGACCATGCTCGTTTGAACGGTTTAAACTATCGGCGGCACTCTCAGATTTCTTTGTGTAGCCTCGCGTACTCTCAACCGTTGTTTCTCTATCGGACAGACTGGCCTTGTTCGAACGCACAGTTTGCGTTGCGCGCCAGTGCGTCCTTAATGAAAAGCAGGAAGAAGAAGGTTTTTCGTGTTGCTGTACCGCCGGTTTCTCACTCAAGATGTTTCTCCTAATGCTTCCACACATTCTACTCCAGAGTGAGACGATCGAGCGTTTTCTACATAGGTTTCGGGCGGTCCCTTCAAACGCCCGCGGCAAACACCTCCAGGAGAGAAACAATCTCATTATGACAGAATTACTTCTACTTCCTGCCTCGATTCTCCATTTGACAAGAGAAATTGAACTTGGTCGGACTCAACTCTTCGAGCCACAAGTCGGGAGCTTTGGTCGAAACTCGACAGCTCGTTGTCATCGGCATCGTACGGATACTATTGTATTCCTGCTCCGTCAACCGAGAATCGGTCATGTAATTTCGAGAAGTCTCCATAGACGATGGCGCTTATGCAAGGACAGAGCTCGTTCTGAGAAGTTTTCGCACGACGAGTGATGACGAACCCCGAAGATCAATTATCGACCACGAGACACACTGAGCATGTGCTCTTTGTAGAAAAGCCGCGGCGCGTGGGGGATCCCCACGACCGTACGAGTCCGAGAGCTTTTCTAGCTTAAGGCTTAATGTGTCTGCGAGTGTTAGCTGTTCTAACGGATTGGCGGGGAAATGCGTTTGAGGGGCAAATGAGTTTCTTGTAACGTTCGGAGCCAGCTCCTGATCGAAGGCCCAGAAGAGAAGAGCTTCTTGAAATTCTGGGAACACTTGCTTATGAATACGAGCCCTCGATATTCGTCTCAGCTGAGGCCGCCATTTGAGCTTGGGCAAGTTGTGAGAATTCCCAGGAGATTTTCGTCTCGTCGATTTTACTCCATGACAAGCTTCGCAATCTGTGCCGTCGAACTTACCCTACATTTAAGATATACCCCTCCTGAGGTTTCTCGGAGAGGCTGACTCTTATACTACAAAACGGGACACCAGCGGAGACGCCGCGCATTTTGCATATTCCCAGTTTCCGAATTCGAAACTCTGCCAATGAGCCCGAGTCGTCGGTTATTTCGGAAGTGACCAAGTGTCCTTCGGTCGATTCAGTTCTTTGCTGAAGAGGAGCACATCCACACTAATTCGAAGTACTACCTGCAGGGATCCTCAGAGCTTTGCGGAAATCCCGCGAAGTAGGATCCACTTTTCCCGGGTAGCGAGGAAAGGCGTGTTGGCAGGGATTGTTGCTCGTCGGTCGAAGCAACGAACTACCCATGAAGAAAACTGGTGTTATCAGGAGAGATCGGGATCTCATCGTGCTGCTCGGTTGGTTCGTTCGTAGTTTCGTCCGTTCATCTGTGCGTCCGCTCATTCGGTCGTGAGAGGATGCAACTGTTCCGATAGAATCTAAAGCAGCACCATCGTCACAAGATGCACAGAGTCACGGCGTAATGGACAAGCCAACAGGCCCGTTCGAGATAAGCCGATAACTGTAGCTTCTCTACTAAAAGGAACGGAAGAGCTAGCCATCGCAGAACAAGGCGCTCGACTGCTCGACTCAAGGAACGAATGAGCTCGATTAGTCTGGAAAAGATGTCAATGCTGATTGGGTCTTGAGTTGCGAACCTCCTTTTCGACCTGTCTGCCATCAGGCGAATTCAGAAGACCCGATAGAGACCGCCTCCTCCCGCTGGATACTTTGTTTCGATGCCAGTTAGACAGAGCAGGGTGAGACATAGCTGTGTTAGAGATCGAGGATCGGAGGAGATTTCGACATGAGGATCGGAAAAGGAGAAATCGAGGTCCCCCTCGACCGGGGTGCGGGATCCGAGACAATATCATCCGGAATTTTTTTCATCCTGGTTTCGCGGGAACGTATGCGGTCAAGGAAGCATGAAACACATGGGAGTATTACCGAGGCAGCGCGGTGGAGCGTGATTGAGTTTTTGAGACAAGACAGTACACATTGAGTCCGCCTCGAGGGAATTTCCCAGATGAGTGACTTCTAAAATGAAGCCAATGAGGACCGAATTTCTCTCATTCATTCCATCATTCGGCGCACGGGGAGAAAAATTTTTCCATGCTCGGAACTTCGGCGCACGCGTTTTCGAATCTCTCAAATTATAATTGACCTATGCGGAAAAATTCAACATGTTACCGCGGATGTAGATTCAGAATTCGGAACGATCGGAGGAGGAGCAGGGGAAAGGCGACAGAAAACGGAAGTTGCCCTGTGCTTTTCTGGTCGGATCGGGCTTCCGTTTCCGGCGAGCTCCGAGTGACGGCCAAGAAAGCTTATGTTTGTTATGTTGCCGTTAGCTAGACTGACTGACTGACTGACCGACCGACCGAGTGAGTGTTATTTCAATCGTCTTCTACATCTGTTGAATGCATGTACCGACTGTTTCGCTGCCACTGCTTCGAGCGCAGCCGTTACTGCAGTAACAGCGTAGACATAAAGAGATGTAATCTTCAGCTGAAACACGGAAACTTCTTTGTACCTTTGCTTCTAGTGATGAATGCGTTCACAAGCTGCGCGCCTGATGAGGTTAAATATAACAACGCCAACAACCGACGCCGCGGCACCGTCATCACCAACTGTCCCAAGTCACAGCTCCGGCAGAGCTCTTCTTCTTCCTTTCCTTGTTCTCTATTTCCATGTTAGCCTCCTCCTTCGAGACACTCGCGAAGCCCTATTCTCACCTCTAGCCGCGATCAGAGCAACAACTATCACTCTTGCATTATTGTTTATATAGTACCTGCTTCTTCCGCTACAATCGCTACGACATAGTTGATGTTGCCGTTGTTCAAGCTGCCAGCAGTCTCCCTACAATGTTTCTCATTGCGAGAAGTAACCTCTCTTGAAGATTTGATGCCTGCTAGGATACCCGTTCATGAATCAGGAGACGACGCGAGCGGGTCGAAAATTCAACCCGAATCACTCGGAGGGAGCCGATGTCGTAACGGCTGATATTATAGTAAGGCTATACTTTCGAATATCCGTTTTCCGTCTTCGAGGAGGAGCTTCGAAGGAGCTCTCGTCGACCTCGTCCCAGGTCCTCGGCGTACTCCCGATGCCAAAAGCCTCACGTAGAGACTCCCAAAAAGGAGGCAATGCTCTCCCGAATCCGGAGCTGCGTCGGCTCTCTTCTCATCGTCATCATGTATTGTACGCCATCCCATATGGCTGTGGTTTTGGATTCTGCATGCATGAGGCTCTATTCGAGCCGCCTCGGGAAATTATCGGCAATCTTCTAAACGGTTGACAAACAATCGAGCATGTTGTGGAAAGATCTTTGTTGTCTTAAATGTCGTCTTTTGTGTCTATCGGGGTACCAAGAACCGCCCGCTCGCCCGCCCGGTAGCCAGGTATCCAGCCAGCCAGCCAGCGAGCCATCTAGAGAGACTGCCGGCCGGCCTGCCTGCCTGCCTCAGCCAGGTACCCAGCCTCTGAGACACATGTCTGGAAACTCCGCCTTCCGGTAGTTAGGTCTCCTCCTCAAAATAGGCGACGAGCGACATAAAGCTGAGGAAAAGACTCGAAAGTGACAAAGAGGTCGCGAACCCGCTGTGGAGAACACGAGGGCTCCTCGATTTTCCAGTGTCCCTTCTGCTGAATTCAGTGATACTGAGTATCGAATCGAGAATGGTATGGATCGAGAGCTCACTGCCGCCGATCCTCTGTGATTGAGAGTGATGAGAGTTGTGCTATCAATCTGGATTGCCTAGAATGAAATTCCTGGATGGATACTGCGGAGTTCGGCAGAGCCTCGACTTGAACTCCGGATGCTTCGTTGCAGGAAGCCTCCAACTCGGAGATGCCTCGACTGAGATCCCCGAAATGCGCGCGCTGCAGGAATCACGGTGTTGTGTCTTCCTTGAAGGGACATAAGAAACTCTGCAGATGGAGAGACTGTCCTTGCGCCAATTGTCTCCTCGTTGTGGAAAGGCAGCGCGTCATGGCAGCCCAAGTTGCGCTTCGGAGGTAGGTCTCCTAGTCAAAAATAAAGAAAGAAGATCTCAATCGAGCATGTTATTCGGCGTTGAACCGTGGTCCACACAGCTTGAACGCAGCGACTCAATTTGATTTCCAGACAGCAGCAGGCGGCCGAGAACGCGGCGAAAGCGATGAAACGCCTAGCCGAAGATACCGCAGTTGAGGATCGATGGAAGTCGGAACGAGGCCCCGATATGCATGGTCGAGGCAGTCCTGTCCGCTCAAATAATCGTCAAATTCCTCTTGGTAATGCGACGATGAAACTGGCAAAGGCATAGCAGAATATCAAATCCAATGTCTCCGTTGTATTGTATTTGAATTGATTTGACAAAAATCGTCCACTCAAAGAAAGCCGCATCTCTTACAGATCTCTCAACAGCCGACGGAAGCCCCATACCCTTTCCTCTACTGCCGCACGCCGCTTTCAAAGAGACCCCGAGCCTCTTCACCGCACCCTTCTTAACCCCTGAGCAGTTGAATCTCATGATCCTCACTCAGGCAGCGATGAGACAGCGTGCAGAAGGCCCAAACCCTTTCTCCATAGAATCCTTGCTGACCAGAAGCTGAGTGAGTCGTTACAGTCGTCATGAGTCAAGAGCGAAAGGCTCCGTCAGCTTTCCCCAAGATATCGCATCGAGTGTACCTTCGCGAAGTTGAGGGCCCCGATTGGTCGTGGAGCCTAAGATATCAAAACTGTAAAAAGAGTATCGTCTCGGTGTCTGTACAAAAGGAGAAGAAGGAGCGAGACCGTGATCTGAGATGCCCAAAGATGCGCATCTTCCAGTCGATAACAATCGGACTGAATTGCGCGCAACTCTCATGGCGGGCATCACGTGTTTCCTGAGATCTGATATATTTATTGAGAGTAATTTTGCTCATCGTCAGGCGAGTGAATAAAGATATTCCGCTGATTAGCGGTCAATATTCTTGACGAAACCTCATTCCTGGGACTCTTTCGAGCCTCGCGTATGCACACTGCTGGATTCTCGAAGGGGGCGATCGTCGCGTCGCCTGTTGACTCGGTGAGGAAGGGGAACGATTCGAAACGAGGGGGGTCGTGGATCACCCGAACGTCTTCCCTGATAACAGGTATCAAATGAATCTTTGGCGGATATACAATACAGAATACGGGGTAAACCGTGCGATACGGAACATCGATGGGAGCCAAGGTCTCATTCCTACGGAGCTCCTCCCTTCACCGAGAGGCAGCTGTTGGAAACGTATCGGCCAAAATCGATGTTTAAGCAGGCGGTAGGGTCGACACAGTCCATGCAGAAGATCCACATTGCTCTCGACTGTGACATGGAAGGGGGATAGCGTTCGTCGGATGCACCCACGATCCGGAGCGACGGTCACCCTCCTTGTTTAGATGCAAAAACTCGCCAAACCTCTCGCTGGCAGCCTCCTCTTTTCCCTTGATGCCGTACTCGCTTCTGAGCCAGTCTCTGCTTATGCTCCCGCCGAGAGCGAGAGTGCGATTGCGAAAACGACTTCTGCTCTAAAAACGCTCCCTAATGACCCTCATAGGGATAAGTCGGCTGCGGCACGAGCTTCCCGAGCGATTCCGACAACGACCTACAAGAAGACTCAGCCTGATCCACGTCAGCAGAAGGAAAAACGAGTACGAGTGGAAGACATCCGAGGATTAATTTCAAGGAGTGTCTGAGCGAACGAGATCGTCGGCCGAGCCTTGCGCGGATAAGAACTGGAGCCCTCGGGAGAATGAGGATGCATTCTTTCCTTGCTTCCGCAATCAAGCCGATATTAAAATTCCGAAAAAACTTTAGTCCTCCTCATCTGGCTTGCGTCCGGACCCCGAAGACGGTAGTTTTTTTTCAAGCTGAATGGCTCGCATAATCCCCGAGGGCGTCCTCTGTAAGTTTTCGCAGCTCGGTTGAGCTGAACCTTTGAGAGTGTCCACCCCAGTCAGAAGAAATTATTCATCTCGAGCGACCTTAGTAGATTCGTTCCTACAATTGCGTTCTCACGTGAACTGGAACGCTCTCGCTCTTTTTTTGCGTATTCAGGACGCGCGGAGACTCCCTACTGGTATGCTCGGTTAACGAGGATTGCCTGGCCTGTGTTAGTGCAGCCATTTCCGTCTCCTCCCTGCTTGCGGGAGCGATGACCAGCGGAAGTACTTAGAGCTCTGTGAATACCACGGTTCGCTCGCCGCCATAAGAAAATGCCGGTCGGAAGGCGATGCTTGCGACTCACGAGCGGACATAAAGGGAACGTTCAATCTCTATCGAGTGCGACCCATATGTACTCCTGGCTGTCTCGTTCGATGCTTGTCCGCGATCCATTCCTCGGGCTCGCCTCGATCGAGGTAATGAAATGCATTTCTGTTCCTGCATGAGAGACGAACTCAGGAGTCAGAAGCCAGCTCTTATATTTGCGGAATTGCCTCGACATAGGGAATACAAACAGACATTCTGCGCTGAAGTCAGCAATGCAGAGACGGTTCGAGTGGAGTTCCGGACCCGATTGACTTATAGAAAAAATTCTGCGAATACCTAATGTGATATACAAAATGGAGTGATATAATATGATAAACCATGATGGTATAATGGTATAATACAGTTATGATACCATTACCATTATACCATGATGGTATAATGGTATAATACAGTTATGATACCATTGATAGATTGTGATGATCGTCATGAAAATCATGAATATATTTATGATTATCATGACGATAATACTCCAGATGAGTCATATTTGTGAATTATAAGTATTTTTGTAGGAGCGTTAGTCTTTTAGTTTCACACAGCAATGAAGGAACGGCGCAGGTGAGTCGTGCTTCCGGATCTAGGGTCATGGAAGCAACAACGGCGTGAATAACGCGATATGCACCCTCGTCTGGAAAGCATGCTGGCGTTCGCAACGCTCTCGGAGGGCGGAGATGGCTCAGACCGGTGCGACGATTCGAGCCTTGCTCAGCTCTTAGTGCTGATGTCCCGGCAAAAGGAACAGGTGCGCTGTGGTCACAAAAAGAATCAAAGTGCCGGCGGGGAAGTATTCTCTCCAACGTTTGCCGGCAAAATCAGCACAGCGAATAACTCCTGCTCATAGGATCGGTAAGCGTTACTTACTAAATCGGCAGCCTCCGTGCCCGCAGAGATCGTTCCGGTGTTCATCGGATAATTTCCAAGTATTGCGAGAGCTGATCCTCGCGACAATGATGTCTGAGAAAGAGATTTTCATGGAAGCGCGGAATGCGATATAGGCCCGCGGCTCCTCACATCCCTCCATGGAAAATATTCTGCTAATCCTAGAAGAAGAATATCGCAGACTAATTCGATACTATGTATCTCCCCGCTTGTCTGAGAGAGAGCGAATGCAAGAAGAGCGCCGAAGGCGAGCCTGGGAGGATATAATATTCGGCTCGGGAAGGTATGTACTTCAATCAAACCTACGCGTGTCCTTGTCAACTCTGTTACAATGTTATCCCTATGAAGAACTGTGGTCCTCCGGAAGATACCTCTCCGAACGACTCACACTGGCGACGTACTGTGAGATTAGTCTGTTTTCGTTCGTTTTGAGCTTCTCCGGACATGGAAAGATTCTATGCCCGAAACTTCGTTTTTCCTCGACTTATCATCGGAAAGATCCGGTGCGTTAAAGTGCGGCAAATGACAGCCGCGGTTTTAGGATTCCATCTCGCATGCCTATATTCCTCAAGCATCGCATAATGAGCTCTAGCAGGACACTCAAACTCGGAATAGCATCATAGCTGCAGAGCAGCTGAGGTTTTGAGTGTGTGCACAAGGTCGGATTGAAGAAGACTTAGAAATACATGAAGCGGACAAGCACTTCCTCCATCTGCTGTTCCGATGACGACTCCGCTGCGAAGCACTGCATTATCGGCGCGGGGACGTGTCCGAGCTTATCCGTTCTTGGAGCGACAACGATTGGCTGAGGCGGGTGCTTATTCTCCCACCGCCCGGCGCGACACTATTCTGCCGCGACAAGAGAGTACGGGGCCCTTATGGTCGATCTGATTTCAAGGGAGGCTGGCCGAAAGGAGTTGTATCTGTCTCAAGGGGCTCTGGTCGGATGGGAGCTCTTCAGGAGTATTGTCTAGGCCAGGGATCCGCAACCTTTTCTGCTCCGCTACGCCCTTCGGACGACGACTTTGCCTCGCGACCCCTCTAGAATAACAAATACTTCGACATTGAGATCAACTTCGTTTATCACAACATCTTCATATTGTGGTGATTATCTATATATATAAAAACGTATGTCTGTTTGTCTGTTTGTCTGTTTGTCTGTTTGTCTGGTGTCACCTATAGACTCGAAAACGGCTGAACCGATCGTCGTGAAAATTTAGGAGCGTGTTCTGGGCGATCCCCCGGTGGTTATAGGGGGGTCAGTTCTTCGATGCAATGAGTCCTTCCACCTTAAAAAAATATTTGAGTGCTCCACCCACGAAAACACGAAAACTCGGAAAAAAATTGAAAAATCCGAAATTCGCAAAATTCACAAACGCCTGAACCGATCGCCGCAAAAATTCAGGGGTGGGTTCTCGGGAGCTTTAGGAGGGTCATATGAGGGTCGTCGTTCCCATGTGATGGGTCCTTCCACCATAAAAAAATTATTTGAGTGGTCCTCTCACCGAGAATCAAAGATTTCATCGAGGGAAAGACGGGAATTTGTAGGACTTTCAACGGCTGGACCACCATGACGGGGCGGATTCTTGGGAGCTCCTGAGAAGTCTATCGGGGGTTGCCGTCATCACTGGCCTCTGTCTTTTTACTGATGAATCTCGCTGAAAATCGCTGTAGCCGTGAAGTGTATCGATTTTCCGGAGGACATATCTAATAAAAGCGGGGGCACGGGGAGGCGGGGAAACGGGAAAGTGGGGGAACTGGGATAGGCGGGGAACCAGGAAGCGGGGAACCGGAAGCGGGAAAGCGGGGAACCGGGAAAGCGGGGAAACGGGAGAGTGGGGAATCGGGAAAGTGGGGAACCGGGAAAGCAGGGAAACGGGTGAGTGGGGAAATGGGAGAGTGTGGAACGGGAAAGCGGGGAAACGGGAAAGCGGGGAAACGGGAAAGTGGGGAAACGGGAAAGCGGGGAAACGGGAAAGTGGGGAAACGGGAAAGCGGGGAAACGGGAAAGCGGGAAAATGGGAAAACAAGAAAACGGGAGAGCAGGGGAACGGGAGAGCAGGGGAACGGGAGAGCAGGGAAACGGGAAAGCGGGGAAACGGGACGCGCACCCAGAGCCAGCGCAATCGGAGCCAGCGCACCCGGAGGCAGCGCACTCGGAGCCAGCGCACCCGGAGCCAGCGCACTCGGAGCTAGCGCATGTGTAGTGAGTCTAGCGATACCGAGTCGCCGCGAAGCGGCGACCGGGAGCGCTAGTACAGTATAAACTCGATTATATCACCTAATTCGTGTTCAAAAATATGATATTATCGGGAGTGTGATATAATCGAGTTTATGTATGGAAACTCGAATGGAATATTCCCGAATCTATCACATCTCCGACTCGATAATATCACCCTTTTCGAACACGAATTGGGTGATATAATCGAGTTTCAAAATTTTTAGGGTGAT